GGTCCAGCGAGATGATAGTAATCGGTGGTCATCGACCCCGAATGACATGGCTCAAAACCGTTTGCAACGGCGCAGGTGCACTCATTTTTTGGGTTCTCTCAAATCCATAACTTTTTAATTCCCCATTACCTTTATCTTTGTCGTTTCAAGTTCACTTCACCAGATTCTACTTCTTGAATAATAATGTTGAACCCTAAAATTTCCGATTACTGCTAATACCTTTACTACCTTTACTACTATGGGATTCGAATCGACGATTAAATCTCTGTGCAACATGTGGTATGGCAACATAAACTGACGTACGTACGAAGTTCTACGTTGTTATTGATCGTTTGATTCATCCAGGATGGCAAATCGATACAAGTCCTCCGAGTCTTTATGAAGTCGAAAAAGCTATAAGGAATCTTTTTAAATCATCAATCAATCATTGTTAGACCACCATTAGAAACCTGGAAACACTGGACGGTCGTTTCGTCCTGGTATGGGACCCATCAGCAGTGCGCATCCACGACTCCTGGACCTCGCAGGACTCGGACCCGGGACCTTCGGTACTGTGCGCGAACGCCTAACCATTGGATCACTGGGCCGGCATCCAACGGTGTTAATTTCTAACCCTGATTTCAAATGTGTAAAAACACTAATCTTCATAACTCTAATTGAAGGATGGTGGTCCAGTTTTAACAGTTAGATTGACCGAGATCTTAGGTAGAATCCGGGAATCGGACGTAATCCTATCTGACTGATCTCAATCGCTGATTGTCCCAATTTATAAGAAACGACAAAAGTCTTCTTGTAACAGTCACAGAGGAATCAGTTTAACTAATATAGTTTCTGAATTGTTATCCTCTATAATCCTTAGACTCCTAACTAGTGCTCGTGAAGAGCATACTAGAGAAAACCAGGCTGGTTTTCGACTTGGATGTGAATGTATGGACCAGATATTCACCCTACGTCAGGTCTTAGAACAAAGACACGTTCAGACTACCCACAAGACTAGTATTTCTGGACCTTAAGGCGGCATTTGACTCTGTTGATCGTGAGGTTCTTTAGCAGTGCCTATCATTGAAAGGTGTATCAAGAAAGCTCAATAACCTTGTGAAGGCTCTCTACTCGAATACCTCTGGTCGAGTTAGAGCTTACGACGAACTGTCATCGAAGTTCTTGACTTCAGGTGGTTTCCTTCAGGGATGTCCACTCTCTCTATTCTTGTTTAGATTTGTCGTAGAAGTGCTTTTAGAGTTAACATTATCCTCGTCAGACTTTTCAGCGGTGGAGCTCCTACCAGGAAAATCGCTTGTTGACTTGGAATATGCCGATGACATAGTTCTATTTGGTGAATACTCTGACAAAATACAGTCTTCTGATTACCCTAACCAACAATGCAAGTAGGTTCGGGATATGGTTCTCACTCTCGAAATTGGGTTGCATCGGCACCTGAACTAGTGATAGGGAGTGAGGTAGTCGAACGTGTAGACCTATTCACTTATCTCAGGAGTTTCATCAGTGCTGATGGCCTGGTGGTCGACGAAATTTCAGCATGGATAGAGAAGGCATGAGTGGCTTTTGCCAAGTTGCGTCACTTATGGCACAGGTGAGATGTCCGTTTGCTAACCAAAGAGCAAGTCTACTGCGCAGCAGTTCAATCCGTCCTACTGTACGGATGAGAAACATGAATGGTAAGAGTAGAGAATATTCGTAGGTTATTAGTATTCGATTATAGGTGTCTTCAAAGCATTGCTCTTTTATCTTGGGACAACCTGGTAAGCATTTGTGTTGTTAGGAAACAAGTACAAGGTAGGGGTGGCAGGCAAATCAATAGATGAAGTAATGATACTTCATCAGTTGAGATGGCTAGGACTGACTGCTTCGTCGAGTTATGTTTTGTGGTGTAGGAGTAGGCTGAAAGAAAGCTAGTGGCGGTCAAACCAAAACATGGCAAAAATCCATGAAATCACTGACAAGTGGACTGAGTCATGTTGGGAGATGTAAATGGGCTTTATTTATTGTCGACTTAATTTATGATATTGCAATTTTTTCTGATCGTTTCGATGTGAAAGTAGTGTATTCGTTTATTTTTTCACATTAGAATTTCTATACATATAGGATTAAAAAAGGAGCAAGAAATGAATGTATTTGTTTGTCTATAGGTTTATCTACATTTATATGCATATTTGTGTAAAATTTAAATAGTAAATTTATACAATCATTAACTTTGACAATTTATAATACGTATGAATTTGGTGTTATCCGACAAGAGTTGATTCAATACCATTCACTAATATGTATACATACGGTGAAATTTAAAAATGCTAGATTCTGTTAGTCTCTGTTTTTCTGATATGATTAATTTTTAGGAGAATCTTGTACAAGTTCTTACGGAATAATATTTTCATTAACATATAAACGTATTTTTTAGGTGATTTGATATTTCATTCTTTTCGTGTAATTAAAATAAAGTTTCTTTAAAAATTTATTTAAAAATACCAGTTTATTATTATGGCTGTTTTCACTAGTTAATACGAATATGAAATCATGCTATACATAACTACTTCCTACATCAACTCCTAATATTGTCCGGGATTAGAGTAGATTGGGATAAGACTCGCGGTGGCTAAACCAAGACTTAATATTGGTCCTAATCTTTACCTAGATTTTCAGTTTCAGTGTTATTCCATACCTTTTATTCCGTAAATTCATTTTTTATTCTCAAACAATTTTCGCTATCCTTAGTCTTCTTTATTGTCAGTGATATTTCAGCTATATCGACTCCTTTGCTGTTCACCTAATCAATTTCATGTCATTGTGATAACCTACCAAATCCAATGTTTAATTCGGCTGATTAATCTGTATAATCGAAGCTTCACAAAAGTCAGAGCCCCAATTCAATATTATGGAGCATAATTGTGTAAGAAAATTAAAAATGCTTTCCTGAATAAACCAACAATTCATAACTAAAATACTGTTTGTTTGATGCTGTGAAACAAAATACATCTCGTTAAAACCCATAAACAATTTTTCGGTCCATGGGGACGATATGATACTTGGAGTAGTTGCTATAGTCAACTTTTAATACTAAACAACATAAAATTAGAACCAGATACATTCCAATCGAAGACACACTTAACTAACTCCGACTTTTGATTAAACTGAATTCCCCTAAAACACATTTTCTGACCTTAAATTAGATGACTACTGTTTCAAACTTCAGTGGCTCTTCATGGGCTAATTTTTCCAATCCGTTGGCTATTGTCTAAGCCTTGTGATTGCAAAAGAGTATTTGATACTGCTCATTGACAGGCTTCACTATATATTGAGGCATAGTCAGATCTATGAATGCTTTTTCTATTATTTGTAAATTTTCACCGGACTGAATATTTCAGTCTGCTTATTCACTTTTGCACATTTTCTACCACTACACGACGCGAATAGGATGCTTTACATTAAATACACGAGAATAAATAATGCTTATCTTATTTAAACATATTTTTAACACATTTGTGTTGGTTCTGTATTAGGATATTATCAATTAAAGTTTTAGCTTGCTCTTTGGAAGAATGCATTTTGAATATAAGTACGCTTAGACATATATTATGGAGAATTTCAATGATCGCAAATACCAAAGCGTATGTGTTAGGGCATTTAGATTATTGTAAACTCGTTGGTTCATTTTACTGTTTTACGCTTGTTGAACTTCCTAGCATGGATGGTGATTTCGCCTTACTGTTTCGTCAATACAATAGTTTTTAAACAGTTAAATATCAGTTAATTATAGGTGAACTTTCCAAGTGTTGTAACTTCATAATCCAATTGATATAGCAAGTGGTCGATGTGTTCACATTTATTTGGTCACTATATTTGTATAAAGGTAATTCTTTCCAGCTGTAGGGATTTTGGATCGTCTAGCCATTAGTTTCATTCAAAGCATATTAAGCATTATTACGCATAAAGCTGTAAACTTGGGAAAATATTTTGTTACATGCCTTGTGAACACTTTTTGTAAGTTTGATTTAAGAAAACATAATTATTTTTTTTCTCATGGATTTACTGAATATTTACAGCAAAAATTAGTAATCATAAAACATCAATACTGGTAGTCTTTTTTTTTACATAAACACGCAGTAGAAGTCAAAAAAATA